AAATCCACTCTTTCTTTCTTTCAGTGAACCTGCTACATTTCAGAAATATCACCAAGTGAGTCTGCTTGCGAGATTTAATCAAGATCTGGATAAAATAGCAGCCATCTCCTTAGTGTTCTCCACAGGGTCTGTCGTTGGCCCAAAGTACAAACTCAGAATTCTCCGCATGAAGTTAAGGTCCCTTGCCCATCCAGAAAGGTGAGTCGAAAGCGCAGTTTTACAAACCCTCATCTTCGGGGACCAGCAGTTAGCGTGATGGCTATGTTGCTGGACTCCCACGTAGTCGACTGCGGTTCACGTCCCGGACCCGGTGGCTTAAAACTCACGCCGGGCGCGTGTGCGTGCGTGCCCAAGATCCCGAGAGGAGAATGGAGAAGAAGGGACTGCAGCGTGACCACGCCCCCTGGAGGGTGATTTCTCGCTTTCTGTCTCTCTGTCTGGCGAGTGCATGCGCACTATAGCAAAAACCTCTTAAAAAACAAAACAAAACCAAAAAAAACCCCTCGTCTTCCAAAAATTTAGTTGGCTGTGCTCCAGTTTGGTTGGTCTGCTGATTTAATAGGACTTGTCATTTGCAATGAGGGAAATAAGGGACTTTCCAAAAACAGACTTGATTAAACCAGCAGGTGGCGTGGTGATTAATTAAGGTGGCGGCTCCCACAGAGCAGGTGATACAGCTGAGTAATGGGCCCAGCAGCGCGGAAAACACACCAGGCACGTGTGTGTATGAGCCCGAGATCTGGAGAGAAGATGAGGAGGAGGGATTGTGGCGTGGCCATCCCCCCCGGGAGGTGCTTTCTTGCTCTTCCTTGCTCGCTCTCTGACAAGTACGTACACTCTCAGGCAAACTAAAAAAATAAAAACACGCAGCCCAGTAATCCAAGAAAAGTATACTTGCTTGTGCTTAATGACAATGGCCTGCGATCCAAGGAGACGGTGTTGCTCTTGGCTTAGAGATGTGGAATGCCACCTTAACACCCACACTACTTGCAAGTTGGTAATTCATTGGAGAATTTGACAAACTGAGAAAAGAGAACCTAGCATTTTTTTTTTTTTTTAATTTCTTTTTTTGGAGAGGTCTTTGCTATAGGGCGCGTGCACTTGCCAGAAAAACAGAGAGACAGAAAGCGAGAAGTCACCCCCAGGGGGATGGCCACACCTTCTCCTTCGTTCTTCTCTTGGGATCTTGGCCACACACGCACACGCGCCCGGTGTGAGTTTAAGCCACCAGGTCCGGGACTCGAACCACGGTCGACTACATGGGAGTCCAGCGACATAGCCATTACGCTAACTGCTGGTCCCTAAAACCTAGCTTTTTAAAAGGTTACAGCAAAGTTTAAATATTTTATTCCATTAATACAATATAGGAGTACTCTATTCATGTTAAATTTCTTAAATTTGATAAGTGCATGAGAAAGTCATCTTAGGGAATACACACTGACTATTAAAGGGTAAACAATCTAGTCTCGATTGTTTCAGAAAAAAGAAATGATAGTGTGGGTGAGTGTGTGTGTGTTTGGAGAGAGAGAGGGAGAGAGAGAGAGGGGAGTGATTTTGTTTTCTACGTCCAGACCTATGTTGGTACGTATATTTTGCAACAAATCCCACTCTACCTTATGGTTCTAGCATCTGCTCTGTGGACAGGGAGAGAAACAGAAACAGGGGAACCAGCAGTTAGCGTAATGGCTATGTCACTGGACTCCCACGTAGTCGACCACGGTTCGTGTCCCGGACCTGGTGGCTTAAAACTCACGCCGGGCGCATGTGCGTGCGTGCCCAAGATCCCGAGAGGAGAATGGAGGAGAAGGGATTGCGGCGTGACCATCCCCCCTGGGGGGTGATTTCTCGCTTTCTGTCTCTATGTCTCTCTCTGTCTGTCTGGCGAGTGCACGCGCCCTACAGTGAAAATCTCTCCAAAAAAAAAAAGAAACAGAAACGGATGTGAGCAGTTAGTACTTTAAATATTCCTTTTTCTTGAAGGTTCAGGGTACCCCGACATATTTAATTATATGTTTGTTCTGAGAATAGTCACTACACTTAAAAATTGAACTTTTAAGTATTTTCCTGATTATCAAAGGAATACATGTTCATTTCGCAAAATATGGACAGTGTTGGGGCCTGCAGGTGGTGCGGTGGTTAAGACAGCTGGATCTCACATCTCCAACTCCGCGGAGTTCTGAACCTGGTGACTTGAAAAACGCACCGGGTGCATGTGCAGAATCCTGAGAGGAGGAGAAGGGATTGTGGTGTGGTCATCCTCCATGGGTGGTTCTTTCTCACTCTCTCTCTCTCTTGCTGTCTCTCTCCAGCGATGCACAAGCCCCATAGCTAATTAAAAAAAAATTAAAAAGAGCGGAACAATATCACTTGTAATGTTATCATTCAGAGGGAACTACTGTTAATATTTTTGGCTATTTCTTTCTAATGTTTTTATTCTAGTTAAAGTTGTGCAGCAAATAAAATTTTACATACTGCTTTCTTGGTGATTCTTTTTTTGCTATAGGGCATTTGTGCTCACCAGCGAGACAGAGAGAGACAGAGAGACAGAAAGCAAGAAATCACTCCCCTGGGGGACGGCCCCACCGCAGTCCCTTCTCCTCCATTCTCCTCTTGGGATCTTGGGCACACACAAACATGCGCCTGGCATGAGTGTCAAGCCACCAAGTCTGGGACCAAAACCACGGTCAGTCCTGTGGGAGTCCAGCGATGCAACCCTGCTGATATTTTGCCTACAGTAAGTATTGTTAATCTTTTTTAACTAGAGGGTGCCTATACTTGCCAGAAAGAGACACAGAGGAGAAGCCACACAACCTGCCCATTGGGAATGGCCACACTGCAATCCCTTCTCCATCTCACTCTTCTTCAGGATTTTGAGCACACACACACTCACACCTGGCACGTTTCTCCAGCTGCTGGATGTGGGCCTTGAACAGCACAACCAGCCATGTGGTATCTAGCTGCTGTAATCACCATGCCATGGAGCCTGCCAGCTACATAATTTTACACCCTGAGGATATCATACAATTTACATTTTTTTTTGAGAGAGATTTTTGATTTAGGGTGTGTATGCTCGCCAGAGAGACAGAGAGACAGAAAGCGAGAAATTACCCCCCCGGGGGGATGGCCACACCACAATCCCTCCTGCTCCATTCTCCTCTTGGGATTCTGGGCATACACGCACACACCCCTGGCGTGAGTTTTAAGCGGTTGGGTCTAGGACTCAAACTGTGGTCGACTATGAGGGAGTCCAGTGACATAGCCTTTATGCATCTGCTGGTCCCAAATACGATTTACTTTACTGGAAACTTTTTTTTTTTCAGTTTTGCTATAGGGTGTGTGTGCTCACTAGAGAGAGACACAGAGAGGGGGAAAATGAGAAATCACCCCTGAGAGGATGGCCATGCCACAATCCCTTCTCCTTCACTCTCCACTTGGGATTTGTTTGGCACACGCCCACATGCGGCAGGTGTGTGTGTGCGCCTTTGGTTGTTTGGTTTGGTTTTTGCCACAGGGCATGCACTCGCTAGAGAGAGACAATGAGAAGGAAAGTGAGAAATCACGTCCCCTCCCCGGAGGGATAATTGGCCACACTGCAATTCCTCTTCCTCCTGGGACTTTGGGCACACATGCACACATGCCCATCACGATTTTCAAGCCACAAGGTCCAAGACTCAGACTGCATTTGGCCAAGCAGGCGTCCAGTGCTCTACCACCTCGCCACCTGCTCGCCTCTCCGGGGGTGTTCTGTAAGCTGCTGGATGTTGGGCTCACACTGTGCAGTTGACCATGTGGGATTCAGCTGCCCAAACCTCCAGGACACCGGCTGGCCCAGAAGCTGGTATTTTTATTATTTTATTGACAACTATATTTGTTTATTTCCCAGGCCCCAGCTGTGTCGTTACGATCTTGTCCTAATGGAAAACGTCGAAACGGTCTTCCAGCCTATTTCTTGTCCGAAGCTGCAGATGTAACTCCTGTCGGGCCCAGCACGGTGATAGCAAGAAAGCTACAACTACACGCTGCTTTAAAGCATCGCCTCGCCTTCTCGAGGCACAGAGAGTACAGCGAAACCAAAGGTCTCCTCAGTGGTGTCCCGTGGATGTCACATTGCGGAGCGTCAAAGCCGACCTCGTGATTATGAAACAGTCCTGGGAAGGGAGCCCTAACTAGGGCAAGTCAGAAATAGCCGGCCTCTGAAAGCCCAGTGCTTTTCTGGCTGCATCCCGGGGCCTCATTTGTTCCGACCCATCGGTTCTGCGGCCCGTCAGGCGGGTGGTTCTGTCCATCACGGCTGTGGGTCAAGCATCTTAAAGGGAAGGACCGGCTGGACAGCTTGGTTTGGATGCGACCTCGCATTTCCGGTGCCAGATTCCTCCAGAGCCCTGTGCAGGCGGTAATGAAACTGCCCTACCTCACTGGGCTGCGTCCTGCAGGTTGGGAGGCTAGTCTATGAAGGCTTTTTGAAATCCCATGGGTGCCACGCCTGTGACATGTTTGATAAATGTGACCGTGTTTTTATTTATTTTGCTATGGCTTATCAAGAATGCAGTTAGGGAGGCTCTTCTCAGCAACCCCAGCTTCTCTCAGGCTGTCTGTCTGCTCTGGGAAGGCTGAGAGCCCACCCCTGGCTTCCGGCCTCTCTAAAGCACTGTTAGGGCAGAGAGGGGGTGGGGTGGCCCCAGTCACTCGGCAAGTGCTGGGAGAGAGCGCAAGTGGGTGGGGGAAGGACCGAGGGAGCCTGGGGCCTTGCAGCAGCACCGGGACAGGGCGTGGAGCAAGAGGCAGCCGAGGAAAAGGCAGAGCTTGTGTTTCACCCAGTGCAGAAGGAGCACTTTACGAGCGCCCTCATTTTAAGCAACACTCCAGCCGTGTTTGCTCTTCCTTATCGCCAATGCGATCCGTGGTTATTGAAGAAAACCAAGAACGAGCGTAGATGCAAAGTGCAGACCTCACTGTCCACACTCCCTGTTAGAGGTGACTGAGGGTAACCTTTCGGGACAGGGTCGCAACCTGTTCTACTAACGTGCACAAAGCTGAACTGCTCTGCTCCTGGAGCCTTGCAAGCAGTTCTGAGAATAGCAGTTCTTAGGCTCCCCTGGAGCGGTGAAGTCAGGAGGTCTCAGAGAGGCCAGACTGAAGGGAGGGTGACTCCTGGGGCAGGTGCCCAGGTGAGGGTGGGCACGGCAGGGAGGTCCCTGGGGTTTCTGAGCACCACAGGCCCGGCAGCCTGTTCACCCAAGTGCCCACTCTCCTCCTGCTTTCTGTGAAGGCAGCTCTTGTAAAGAAATGGGTTATTTTAGGGTACAGGATTTGTAATTACATTGCTGTGTGACACGTCTTACAGATTTATGTGTGTATCAAATAGAGTCTACAACAATGAAACGTAAATAAGAAACTATAAAATAAATAAAAAATTTAAAAACCCAGATAAATAGAAAAAATGAAAATAAGAAAACTCGCCATACACACACGGAGTCCATGTAACTTAAGCAAGGGACAACAAACTCTGGAATGGGCCCAGTGGTGCTCCTGCCCCTGGGACATCTTGTCGACCTTCTTCCCACATTGCCTCAGCCTCTGCAAAGGAGCGATCCCTGGGCTGACAGGCCCTGGCTTCCTTTGAGAATTTCAGTGGTCCTGAACAGTCACCTTTTGGGAGTCCTCTTTCTGCAACCTGGTAAGCAGTGTGTGAAAACAACAGTGAGACAATGTCAGGGACAGAATTTCTACCCCTTTCCAAACTCTCCATGAAGAGGCTGGTGGTCTCCTAGCAAAGACTTAGCTCACTGTGGGCCCTAGTAAGTGTCTACGGGATAAGTGGATGGATAGTGGAGGAGGAAAGGAAGGAAGAAAAGAAAGGAAAAAGGAAAGAAAGGTGTCACCGGAGTGGAGGGGAATTTCAAAGCGCAGTGACCAGGAGGAAGGAAGGCCATTACGAGTGTGGCCACTCTCATCTCAAAATGTTCCTCCAAGGCCCTCGGAAGAGTTTTAGACAGGTTCTCACGATGCTGCGATCGCCTTGCCTCAGCCTCCCATGTGGCTGGACCACAGGTCCACGACACTGCTCTGGGATTTTTTAATGGTGGGCTGGGAATTGTACCCGGTCCTCGCGTGTGGCCTTGGCCTGCCAGACAGCCATGTCAACCAGCAGGGGCTACCGGGGCCGGGCCACCCCTGGGACTTGTGACTGTCTCTTTTTATCTTTGCCTTCTCTTTGTCCACCAATGTGTCTGAATCCCAAATCAAAGCCAAAATGATATTGCAGCCCATTTTCTTCCCCGTCCTCTGCACCGGGTTCCCTTACCAACTGGGTCTTGTTGGACCTCATTTCCACACGTGTCAGGCTGTCCCTCACCTTCACTGCTTTTCTATTTTATTTTTAAAAATTTGCTATAGGGTGTATGCACTCATGAGAGAGAGAGAGGGAAAGTGAGAAACCCTCCCTCAGGGGACAACCGCATCTCAATCCCATCTCCACTGTCTGCTCTCAGGACTTCAGGCATGCACACACACGCGCCGGGCATGTTTCCTGGCCCACCTGGCCTGGCACTTGAACGGCTCAGCTGGCCACGTGAGATCCAGCTGTTTCTACCTCCACACTGCCGGTTGGCCCCATAGCATTTTTTTTTTTTTGGAGAGGTTTTTGCTATAGGGCGCGTGCACTCGCCAGAAAGACAGAGACAGAGAGACAGAAAGCGAGAAATCACCCCCAGGGGGGATGGTCACGCCGCAATCCTTTCTCCTCCATTCTCCTCTCAGGATCTTGGGCACGCACGCACACATGCCTAGAGTGAGGTTAAGCCACCAGGTCCGTGACTCAAACTGTGGTAGGCTACATGGGAGTTCAGTGACATAGCCATTATGCTAACTGCTGGTCCCATAGCACTTATTTATTTATTTATTTATATTTTTTTTGAGAGGTTTTTGCTATAGGGCACGTGTGTTCGCCAGACAGACAGAAAGAGACAGAGAGACAGAAAGCGAGAAATC